ATTTCAAAATCAATTTCCAAAGGAAAAAAATCCCAGAGTACCTCATAAAACTAATTACTGCAGTATCATAACAAATTATAACTCAAATGCTTTAAATAATGTCTGGTGTTCAGAAATTGGCAAAGGATAGGCATAAACAAAGTTTAGGGAACCAATTAAAATACTGAGCATTTAAATAACACTTTCAGAACATTTTTCCACATGCGTTTTAGACATTCAACAAATTTTAGATGTCCAACAAATTATCAAATAGTGTGGTTAAGATATTGTGAATAAACCTGTAAGTGATATATTCTTAGTTAACTTTCCTATGCTTTTAAAAATATGTTAAACTGGTAATGAAACCGGTTAGTCATTGTTGTCTTAATATTGTTGACGATTCTGTAAAGTTTCTTTTTATGAGCATTTGTTTAAGCTATTTCACCTTTGTTTTTTTGAAATCCTTCCCTTTTAAGGAGAAAATGTGACACTAGTGAAAAAGCTTGTAAGAAAGCCCCTTTTTTCCTTTAAGCCTTTAAATGACAAATCTAGGTGATTAAGGTTGTGAATTTTTATTTTTGCTTTGTTTTTAATGAACATTTGTCTTTCAGAAGAGGATTGTGTGATAATGTTTAAATGGCAAAAACAAAACATGATTTTGTGCAATTAACAAAGCTACTGCAAGAAAAATAAAACATTTCTTGGTAAAAAAAAAATATGTTAAACTTTCCCTTTGAAAATCTTCAATGAAACTTCATATTTGAGCTATTTGAACACAATAGATGTCATATATATATTTATATATAACCTATATATATATAAAACCAATAAATAAATAAAAGTGGCAACACAGTAGTACTGTGTTAAATACAGTTAAATAAAATAAAATCAATCCTCTTGTTAGAGACAGAACATGGATATAGATATAAATTAAAGAACACCAGCAAAGCAAACCAAGGAAGCAGTAGCCCCAGAGATGCGACCACCTGTCTGGGCCAGTGCTCTCAGTTAAAGGTCATGCAAACACCAGAGCCTTAGACCAGATTTACCTCTAATGAGAAAGGTGTCTCCCACCATCATCCTTCTGCCCATAAAAAGCTACTACTATCATTTCTAAGCAAAAACGCAGACAGAATAAACAAAATCACTGCCCCCGGTCTTGAAATGGCAGGCACCTGTATTACCTGAACATTGTCCTCACAGCTCAAGGCTTACCTCATAAGACCAGACACACTGAGTCCCACCAAAACGGCGAACACATCTTCCTACTTCCACATCCTCGTGAGTTGTGTACATCTCTCGGAGGCATTCGCTGATATGCGGCACCATTCTCCTGAGAACTTCTCGACTGAAGATCATGCCGGGTCCCCCCATACAGAAGTTCTCTCCGGGCTCCAGCCCCAGCTTCCCCAGTTCTTCAATGTTCCCCAGGCCCGTCTGCCCCAGGTACAGAGGCTTGCTGCTGTTCAGGGATCTAAGAAATTCTTCTAACTTATCACCTACAAAGAGAAAGGCAAGGATTACTTTTATTTCATAGTCATTTAAAATGTACAAGGTAGAAGCCAGAACTTCAAACATTGTCTTTAAACTCATTGTACATTTTATACCACACAACTGAAAAGAAGAAAAGCTTCTCATAATATCCTATTATGTTAAAAATATTAATTTATAGTTGATAATTAAATCTTAATAACATTTTATCCACTTTTGGCTAACATCAGTGGAAACTGTAGGAAATCTAATGATCATGTTTTTCAGTAAAAGATGAAATAACGGTGAGGAGAATAAGGACAGGTTTCTACATTTGCAATAACAAAAAATTACAGAAGTGTAAAATAATATTAAGTATTGATACTTAATATGGTTTGAACAGATGTTGATATCCAATAATTAATTTTTTCCTGATAGTTGAGTCACTTATACGTTTTGTCATAGACTAAAACTTCAATTATATGTGACTCATACATTTTTGGAAAATGTCTCAATGAAATGTATCTTGAAATTTAACTTGAGAAAGTATCATTTCAGAAAAAATAAACGTTCGCTAGAAACAAAAGAGTGTGACTGGTGCCGCTTAGAGTCGGGAGTTCATCAGGAAAAATAATTTGAAAATAAAACTGTGTAGCTAAAATGCCTTCAAAGCATTTGTCTTTTACTAAGTGATACTTCAGAATAAGGAGAGTCACCTTCACCTTCCCAGTCAGCATCCTGCCTATCATTTTTGAGGAGCAGGGCATCCGCAGTCATTAGCTTGGTCTCATGCCTCTCCCCTGGATTTCAGTGAGTTTCACCTGAGCAGTATAGGGTTCTTAATGCAAAGTGGATTTCATTCTTAATAGGAATTGGAAGAATAGAGCATTTCACATTCTGAAGGACAGTCTTCCAAAGCATGAAAACAAACGACCTAAGCAGGTGCTGCTCATGCATTCTAGAAATTCTCTGCCAAGTGTGGCACTTCTGCCAGGTAACCTTTCTGATTTTAATGTGACACATAAGACAAAGGGTTTATTCCCTGGTAGTGTAACTACCACAAGCATAAAAAAGAAAGTAAAATTAACTCAAGCGACATGACACTTTTGAAAGAAGCAGTTTTCTCTGAATTAAACCTGACAGCATGTTTCAGAAATACAATCCTAAGACAGCATTCTTTATTTTCGTGTCCAGTTATCACTATTTCCTATCCCAACAAAGACTACAATGATTCCTCCTCCCAAATTACATTGAAGAAATTTCTATTTATAACACGCTGTTAGGAACTTGTGCCAAAATGGGCCCATTGAGTTGTCGGTTTCTCCTGGCACCTCACGAAAGATCCTACCTGGAGCAGGAGAAGCCAGTGAGGCTACAAGTAGAGAGGCACAAACTAAGGCAGGGCTGCCTCCTTGACCGAGATGCTAGGAAATGCGGAAAGCACAGAGAAAGCCTCTTCTGTACAAGCTTGTTTGTTCTTTGCATCCCTCCCCATCTCCACAACTGTCTGGACTAGAAAGATTTACTATTTCCTCTAAGAAATTTCTATCCAATGAGTTTAAAAATTCTCTTGGCAGAGCTGCCCATACTCTGGGTAAAGGACCGCGCCTCCTTTAAAACTGGCAAAGTTTTCTCGCGCTGTGGCTGCATATGGCTCTGGGAAGGACTCCCAGCCTCTGCCTGTCGCTGCTACAGCCACCGAGATACCCTGGAAAGGATCCGATAGTAGTGTGTGCTCTTACAGCTTGGAGCTCCAGGGCCTCCAGGACCTTTCCCACCTAACAATTCACCCATCCCCTCAGGGGGTGTACTGAGGCGTGGCAGGGCTGGAGGGCGGCTCGCTGCAGCACTGTGGTGGGTGGAAGGAGAAGCGTGCCAGAGTTGCTGGGATGCGCAACGATTCCCAGTGTGTGACAAGTTAGGCAAAAGGAAAGGCAATGAGCAGGGAAGGGTCTAGGGCAGCGAAAATGACTCCTCAGTTCCAACAGCTCGGAAACCGTGGTAGAACCGCTGAGACAAAACACCGGAGGAATAAAGCCGGAACAATGTATCTCCAGACCGGCTCTAACCAGCTTCTCCTCTCCCTCTACCGGGGACACGCCCCTTTGGACCGATTTGAGAAAGGGCTACCACTCAGGGCTTGTAGAAGAGGTCAGAATGGGAATGGTTTTTCGTTCAGCTCTGAGACCCTTTTCCTCACCTATCCTTCGGGGTAAAGAGCAGGGCACGCTCTAGGGGGAAAGGAGAGCAGCGAGAGTGAGCAAGGCGAGTAAAGCTGGGCAGGTACGAGGAGGGTCCAGGCTGTAGAAGAAGAGGGCTGGCGAACAGAGGTGGGCGGATGCAAGGGGTGGGGTCGGCCCGGGCTGCGGGCGCGCGGAGCACGTGTCCGCAGAGGAGCAGAGGAAGGGCTGGCCAGGAGCTGGGCAGGGGCTGGGCAGGGGCTGGGGCTGGTGGCAGAAAAAAGAGTTGGGGTGGGCAGGTGGGACAGCAGGCGCTGGGAGGTCACCTTTGATGTAGACATCGTCGTCGGCTCGCATGAACCACTCGTACTTGTCCAGGTAATGGTCGTGCATATACTTGATCATCATGAAGGATTTTTTCTGAGGAGGGTAGGAGTCATCCACCCCCGGCAGCGCGATGACAGGCACGGGCGGCGGGGGCTGGCCGGGCCCGGCGTTGGGGGACTGCTCACTGGAAAAGAACTCCACGCGGCCAGGGATGAAGCGCGCCCAGGTCCGCTGCGCCGCCAGCGCGCGGCTGCCCAGGTACTTCTTCGCGGTCATCACCCCCACGTACAGGAAGTCTCGAGGTCGGGCGCTCGCGGCGGTGGCGCCCCCGTCCCCGCTGCCATTGTGGCTACTCCCGGGCCGGCCACCTCTCCGCTGGGCAGCCGCGCCCCCATCCTCCTCCTCGGGTTCGCCTTCGGCCGCTGGGGCGCCAGGAAGCCCCGTCGCGCCCTCGGACTCCCATCTTCGCCGCCGCTGCTGCAGCGGAGGTGGCTGCTGCCAGGGACTGCTCCGAAAACTGGTAACTCCGGGCGCCTCCTCGGGCAGCGGCTGACCCTGGAGCTCCTGGCGCGCGGGGAATGGCGACTGCTCCTGCCGCGGCCGGGACTGGAGCTGGGGGAGCGGCTGCTGCGCGCCGGGGCCAGCGGCGGAACGGCCGTAGTAGGAACACAGGCTGGAGCCGCGTCGCTTCCTCTCGCTCAGCTCGGCCACCCGGGGGGCGATGAGCCAGGACGCGGCGGTGAAGCCCAGCACCAGTCCCAGCGCCACGCTCATCCACGGGCGGCGAGAGCGCACGGCCATCGCAGTGCTCGGGGCGGACGCTCGCCGGGCGGTCTCGGAGCTGCCTCGGATCCCCGGGTTGACCCCTGGCCCTCCTCCGCCCCGAGCCCCCAGCCCCGGCCACAGCCCGCCGCCCAGACGCCCAGGCGCGACGCCGGCTCGGGGTCGGTCGGGGCGCTCGCCGCGCCGCGCCTCGCCTGCCCGGTGCAGCTACCCGCCGAGCTCCCGCTGCGCTCCGGGCCGGGCTCCGTGCGAGGGTCGGGAATGAAACTTCTCCCGGCAGCGGCTGTGGAAGCGGCGGCGGCAGCGAGAGGAGCTGCAGGGTGAAGAGGAGGAGCAGCGGCGGCGGCGTCCGCTCCTCGGCTGCCACCCTGTCACTGGCACGCCTCCCTCCGCCCTCCTCTGAGCTCCCGCCCTCGCTCCCGCCCCCTCTCCCCGCCGCCGGCTTCGACCGGCCCGAAGGAGGAGCCTCGAGCGCCGCGGCCAGCCGGGGAGCGCGGCCCGCGGGGCTCCCCCGTCCGCGCGGAGTCCGAGCCGGCCTCTCTCCGGAAGGAAAGGCCGCCGCTTGGGCGGCCTCCGGCTCCCAGGGCCGACCCCTGCCCTGTCCCTCCCTCCCCCGCTCCAACTCCCCGCCCAGTTCCCGTCCCGCCCCTGCGCGACCGCGGCTCCACTGAGGTCCTCCGATCCCCAGAGACCCCAGCAAGCGCGATCGACCCACTCCGGACCCTCCTAACCCAGCACAGCTGGTCTGGTCCCGGCGTGACCCTTCCCCGTTTTGTTCCGGCCCAGGGCGTCCTGAGGTCACTTAAGCGGTTTCCATCCTTTTCCCGTTAAACTCGCCCTGCCACTCGGTGCATTCTTTCCATTCCTTGTCCCGCTCACTTCTGAAAGTCAGTAGTCTGTCCCACCTCCTTCCCTGTTCTTACCTGCATCTTTCATCCCCCTCCCCAGTGTTCACCAAATGTCACTGTAGCTTGGGGTCTCTAAGAAAATCCTAGAGGCTGGAAATGCCTTTTCTGAAAGGCTGGGGGAGGTGAGGTAAGGGAAGCTGGCTTCCCTCAAAAGATAAAAACCTGGTGTTCTTCACCTGTTGAGTTGGGAAAGGTGGGGCTGCCTAACGGGCCTCCTCAACTCTTTTTCTGGTGCTGGGTCCCTAGAGGTAAGAACCATGTTCTACTTTCAATCTTGAATAGCTCTCGGTCTGACTGTGCGATGATGGCTAAATGTGAGCAAATGCATAGGGTCCATTCCATCCCATCCAAATTGAGAACATTCTTATCTCAGAGAACTTAATCAGAAAAGAAAACAAGATAGTTTTTATTCTTGTCTACAAAATGTATTCTAAGGCAATGGCTCTACACATTTTGCATTTCAAATGAGGGAAGGAATTTTTCATCAACAGAATCTCAGAAAAGTTAAATTGTATTGGACAAAATAGTTTCGAGTTGGTTGCTTTGTGAAGAAAAATAAACTCAAGGGTGGCATTTTGAAGGAGAGGACTTTTAAAAAATTCATTTAAAGGTTGTGCATCTAAGTGTAGTTTGGGGTACAACTGGCATCCCAAATCTTTTCCTCCTGTTCACATTTCAGTCTTCTGCTTTCTACATCAAACTCCAAGAGGTGGTATTGAATGGCATTGGACAGAAGGGCTGGATCCAGCAGGACGCTGGCAGCGTCCTCGGAACAGTGGGCCTGCCCGCGGCCCTGGGAGGAGCGGATCTTTCCACACCAGTCACTGGCTGGATATGAACGTGTCTGACTGGACGCTTCGTCTGCTGGACAGTGAACCTCCTTTTCCATGGCTAAGTCTTGCCCAGAGACACACGGGAGTACACATTATAGGTCTCTTTCTCAAAGCTGAATTTTAGCTAGAATGCAAAATCAAACAAAAGGCCCCTGTGATTTAAAAATGTCTTTCCCAGAACATTTTATAAGTATTTGTTATTCAATAGAACATTTCCTATAATGGAACTACTCTTCATCACTATCCAAGGCAGCCACTTGCCACATACAATTATTGAGTACTTGAAATGTGGTGAGTGTGATTGAGGAAATGGCTTTTCAGTTTTAATTTATTTTTATTTAAATAGCCCCACGTGGTTAGGTGTTGCCATATTGAGCAGCACATTTTCAGAGGATTTTTACTGTATATAATGTATTAGTTACTTTTCTCCTCTCTGAGACAAAATACCAGACACCCAAAGTTAAGAGAAAAGGTTTAATTGCCTTACAGTTCCTAGAGGTTTCAGCCCATAATCGGCTAGCCCCAAGTCAGGGTGTCATGGCAGAGGGGCAACAGATCATAGTGGCAGAAGATAACAAAAGCAACTAGAGACCTTAACAGTGTCTTTCTGCCCCTTTTATCTTACTCAGACTACCAAGGGGGGGCGGGTAACCACTCACACCCTTAATCCTAGTGCCCTCTGGCCTAGCACTGCACCATGAATCAGTCACACACTCTAGATTCAGCCACCTCTCAAAAAGAAGCTCCACTTTATTGGCAAGAGGCTCCGGGGGGACATGTACACACAAGCCATGACATATGGTCAACAGTGAAGAACAAATGGCTCGTCCCTGTTCCAGCATCCTCTGCCCTGAAGTATGCCTCTGAACTTGGTTCTAATGGTGCTGCTCATGCCACTGATCCATAAAGCTGTTAATTCTGATTGGGCACAAATACTCCACTCTGGAACTGTTTAGACCATTTGAGGAGAAGGTTAATTTCAATGGTTAATTTGAGAACTACATATTACAGATTAAACATTAGACAAGGGTGGTGACTTTAGACATAGAGATGTCAACAAGATGTTTACTGCCTACCACTGTGAAACTTACAGTGTAGCACAGAAGGCCTTGCAGAAGACTACATTATAGAGTGAATTACAGTGAAGGAAAGCTTGAGTACTCTGAGAGTACTTATAAGAGAATGTAGTTTAGTCTGGAAATCAGGGAAGACACTAAGAAGAGAGGAAAGAAAACAAAAGGTATAGAAGTGATACTACCAGCCAAGTGACCGTGGAAAAGTTCTTTACATTCTCTGAGCTTTTGATTTCCTATCTGCAAGTACATTTCTGTATGGTATGGATGCATTAGGATATTAAATGTAAGTACTTAGCACTCAGTCTAGTTTATTACAGACCCAGAGAATGTTAGCTCTCATTTCCAAATACTTTCCTTCATGATAAAAATTTTAATATCATCTTATTTTTATATTTCATTCTTTGATTTATTTAACAAATATTTACTTAGTCTCCACTATCAGATGGTACTATTATCAAAAAATACCAATAAACAACACAGACCACAACTTCAAGGGGGGCTTATATGCTACTAAGGGTAGAGTACACACACCTACATTTGTATGTGTGGAATATATTTATGTAAACAAAGAAATAAATATCTGATCTGTTTTATTATAGTGATTAGTCAGTTATGATTATGATTTATGATAGCAATTAGTTATGATTAGTCAGAGAACATCTTTTTGATAATTTTAACAGAAAATAGAAAAAAGTGAAGAAAGAAACCATGAAATTATCTGAAGGAAGACTTTCCAAGAAGAGGGAGGACCCAGCACCATCTTTGAGACAGATAGATGCATCACAGTGAGAGACAGCAGATGCCACTGTAATTAGTAAATGGGAGAGATCTGGTGACCTCCTAAAAAGTTAGGCCAGGGCTGTGCAATAGAAATATATAAAATTACAAATTAAATGACAAATTACAATTTAAAATTTCAATAACCATATTTAAAAGCTAACAGGTGAAAGTAATTTTAATACTTTTTATTTAGATTAATATATCAAAAATGTAATTCTAAAATTATCAATATAAAATTTTCGGCAAGGTATTTTATGTTCTTTACATTGGCATTTCTTTTTAACCAATTATGTATTAAAATACCCTTACAGCAAATCTTTGCTCATGCAACATTTCAGATGTCCAATAGAGAATGTGGCTAATGGCTACCATATCGGAGAGCATGTATTTAGAGCCTAACAGACATCTGTAAAGACTTTGGCTTTTATTCTGGGTAACAGTAAGTGTATTGTGCAGAATAGTGATGTGGATTTTATACTTTACAAGATAGGACCAACATAGTTGCATTTTATATGATCACTATAAGGCCAATGGGCAGAAGAAACTTGAGACAGGAGTAGAATCAAGGAAACCACTTAAAACATTACTGAAGTGACCCTATCCCTTTGAAATAGAAGAAAAAACAAACATTTTTTTCTTCTTTTCACCATCTGTGCCTCTTCCTCACTTATAATAAGTAGAGGCTTTGGGAAATTTAGTAAGAATTTAATTTCATATTTATTAAGATTCCTATAGTTATTTGCCATTTTCCAAAGACAGTGAAGAGATTTTTCTCATAATTTAATTGCAAAGAGATATGACTTTTAGGGCATATAATTTTCTGGAAAATCTCTACCAGTGACTATGATTTTTTTAATGAAAAATGATGAAGTAATAAGTTATAGGGAGAATTTTAGGAAATAAGTTTATTTGGATAAGAGGTCTGTGGAAGGACAAACTTTTATGGAAACTCTTTATCACTGAAAAAGAGGAAAAATAATTGCATGCCAAAATATAGTGAGACCTGTATATTATATTAAAAGACTACATAAATATAGACACTGAAAATATATCTGATTAAAAATATCCAGTATAATTGTGGTCCTAAGCAAGACAAGTTCAATAAGTAAACCTGTGAGTCACTTCATAAAATTTCTATGAAGCAGTTTGGTGGCATAGTTTGAGAAAAGCAGTAACAACGAAAACCTCCTAAAATTATAATACTTTACAATGAAAATTGTGAAGCCGACTCCCCATTCTCCCTGAATGTTTTAGTAAATTCAGGCATGTGCATATTTGACAGTTGTAACATACGAATAATTTCCTATCTCCTCAGACCTAAAGCTATTAAAATACAGTGTAAGGTACAGTCTAGATTCATGTTGTGGATAGAATTTGTATGTCAGAGTTGGGTTCGGTTGTGTTCCTGGCTTTAGGATAAGATTAATGTCAACCACCCTGAGAGCAGGTCTCACACTTTTGGCAGAGAGTGATTAGGCCAGTACTCTACCATTTTAACTAACTGGAAAGAGCAATAACTTCAAAATCACAGGGGGAAAAAAGTGCAATGAGTTTAAAGAGGAGAATATCATAATTTGATCACTTATGGAAGTTAAAGCTAAATACTTAAATAAACAATCCAGCTTATACTACTTTTAGAGGGTATAATCAAGTTTTGAAAGGTCGTGACACTTTAGTTCAGTATTTTACTGATCTATTTTGAATGTTATCATTTTTTCTTGACAGATCAAGGCTGAATTCGTTTCATTTGTGTGAAGCAACTGTGGCATCTAGTGGTTAATAATCATAATGGTAATTTGGTTTATTTCTTTTTTTTTAATTTGGTTTATTTTTAAGGGATAAATTATATTATAAATATTTTTATAGGAAATATTTTAACAAATATTTTAGGAATATTATAGTAATAGAGACATAATTACATTATCATTTTTGCTACCTTTAAATAAAAAGGAAATAACCTCAGAAATCAACACACGAGATGAACAAAGCTGGTATACTGAAATAGGAAAAGGTAATTTTTCAGAGCAGATTATAAAGTTATTTAAGTTTTAGGGCCTAATATTAATTTATATTTATGTATTCTCCATTAGATTAAATTTTTACACTGATTAGATATTTGATGCTACACAATTATTAATTCTGTTCTTACACATGCTAAGGCTATTGAAACTATGATTTCTGAGAGCCCTTATTTTCAGAAGTACATTTTGAAATGCTTACTGATGAATTAGTGTGATGTCTAGGATTCAAATAATCAGAAATGAAGGGTGGTGGTAGGTAGATATTGATGTGTGTGAAGTCTGATAAGTTTATTGATTAATATTAAGGTAGGTGATAAAGTTGGAACCTCCTATACTTAAAAGTTTAAAGAAAGGGCTGAGATCTAGCTCAGTGTTTTGAATGCTTGCCTAGAATATGCAAGACCCTGGGTTCAACTGCCAGTAGCAGCACAAATAAATACATAGAAAATATCTCATTTGTTTAAGATTAGCATACATTCAAAATTTATTTTCTATAGATTTATCTTGAGAAAGAAAAGATCCACTTTTCCAAATGATCAATGAGAAAAACATCAACTGAAAAGTGTGTGAAACTATTGTTACTTAGGAAAGAGAAAAGATGGGCCTATTTCAAAATTAAAACTCACTTCTTTCATACCCTTTTGCCCCCAATGACCATACTGAGACATAAGCAAAATAGTCATTAAAGCTTTTACCAAAAAGAGACCTTATTTCTGATGTAAGAATTTTTTTTCAAGTAGTAATAGTCTATGATTAAACAATGAGCTGGAAAATCTTCAGAGTTCTTAATCACCAAAGTGAATTTATTTTAGAAAGAGGTTTTGTTTTCTTTTACTTTCAGTACTCTCTGAATATAC